TACTTCTAGATTCACAGATCAAATTAGCTGGAGGTTTGAGAACTTGAACAAATTTAAATGGATGAATCTTATTCACCCATCCAAATTTGAAGCAAGAAAGAACGCTTCATCTCAAGAGCAAAAGCAGTTAATAGCCGAATTAAGGGACATTTATCCAACTCCGGATCCACTTGCACTTGAACACTGTCTCAATGTCCTATATAACAGTAGGGAAATATCCGTTTTGCTTGACCGAGTAACAAGAGAGAGGGACGCTTTCATCGCCAAAAAGAAAGAAAGACGCAGAAGACTTGTCAGAGCTAACGAAGAGCCCCCCGAAAGCAGACTGTCGGAGAGAGAAGCGGTTGAAGAGGATGATTTGTTTGAGGTGACAAATGAAGTTGAAGTAGAAGTTGATATTGTTACTGAAGGCAAACCCTCAATCCAAGATTTGTTGACCATTCTAAAGAAGACAGAATTACAGGATACACTTCCTCAGGCAATGACAGTTTTGGAGCTTGCTGCAGTAACACCATTAACGAGTGTTCATTGCGAGAGAGTCTTTAGCCGCATGAAAAGAGTTGTGTCGTCTTCAAGGTCCACTATGCTCCAGAAAAGAAAAGAAATGCTAGTTTTCCTTCAAGTAGAACACAAAACACTTCGCTGGCTTGCCGAACAACCACAATTCAAAACAAATGTAGTTGAGAGATTTAAGGCATTTAATCAAAGACGCTCTGATAGATTTTCAAAAAAGTAGCTTAAGCTTTAGTTAATTTTATGTAAGACGTGTTTTAGGTAGAGCATGATAAATGATGATAATTTGTTTTCTTTTATTCAAAGGCAAAAATAGTTTTGGAGTAAAATTAAAAATTATTGTCCATGTTCAAGAACGATTTTTATGAGTGTTCTGAGTCTGTGTCTACAATTCATCTTCATTGCATTTTCACTTTTAGCTTTTAGACCATTTTGGAATCGTTTAGAGGCATTAAAAAGGGGGTCCTCAGACAGATTTTGTGAGGTCAATATCAAGCCTCTTTGAATCTATGAGCAACTTTTTTTCCTGCCAGCCGCCCCTGATGGGTTGCCATTTTCAAGAGGTTGCTGACAAAACTCTCATTTTTGAAGATTTGCTGACAAGATTTCGGTCTGGGGGTGTAACAGCAACCAAACCTCCCCTCCCCCCTCCCCATAGCCACAGCCCTGCTCTTTGTCAGATATTGACACATTGTAAAGTTGGCTAATATATTTGATTGCACCTGAATGTGCAATACCAACTAACATTGTGTGATTTTTATACCTTGAATAGAGAGAGCTCTAAACATTTAGAGATGATGGGGACTGAGAGAATGGTTCCGTGCTGTCAATGATCTTCTTCTACCTGGATATGTTTCCGAAATCCGGCCTGTTGCTGGATTTTCCATAATTTTAATCATAACTAAGAAAATTTCTTGATAAAAAAAGTTATAAAGGTGTAAATACAAAGAACAACAAAAATTAAAAGCAATAGAACAAACTTGAACGTAGTTTTAAAAGTTAAAAAAAAGCGATCCAAACATAAAAACAATCAAACATCAAAAAGCTACAATCCTCCCAGGTTGTCATGCAAGAAAAGCAACCTCTTGCCATTCTTTGGAAGAAGTCTTGATCGCTTCTCTTCAAAAATGTTTCCAGCCCCCGAAAAAGCCGCTCCGAATAAACACTAGATTAGTTTGGCAATATGGGGGAAGGTAGTTTTGTGCTGCTTTCACCAAAAGAAAGGACTTTCCATGCGTGGTATGCATGGCATGTTGACATACCTGTCAAGTTCTGCAGCTAGAACAGAATGTGGTACGCTCAGCGTCTCTTTCCTTTTCCTAACAATGGCTTCCAGTGTGAAGTCATCGTCACCTACATCATCATCAGACCCCAAAACATGGTCATTCAACTCAGAAATTTGGTCATGGCATGCTGAAAAGTTGTAGTGAATCTCTTCCTGTAGAGTCTCCAATTTTTTTTTATGCCCTGGTGTGCAGTCCTCTTAGTCTGTATTCTCTTTATTGTCACCTTTTTCTTCAGAAGACTTTAGCACTAAAGCTGCTTTTCTCATGTCTTCTAGCAGCATGTCTATTGCTTATAGTCAGGGCTGTTAGCCTCAGATTTTGAGAGTCGTGCAAAATCCGATACCAGCATTTTGGGCGGCGCTGAACAAGATAAGATGCAGATCCCAGCTGAGAAATGCCCCCAAATGCCATTTTTAGACTGCTGTACTTCGTCCCAGGCCCCAGGCCCCAAAAGTATTTATTGTAAAAATACTGTTGCTAGTTGTGATAACAACATTAAATTTAAAAGAATTTGGCAGTTTGATATGCTCGAAAAGATAAGATGCAGACCCTAGCTGAGAAATACCTCCAAATGCTATTTTTAGACTGTTGTACTAGGTCCCAGGCCCCAAAAGCGTTAATTGTAAAAACACTGCTGCTAGTTGTGATAACAACATGAAAGTGAGAAGAAATGGGCAGTTTGATATGCTCAAAAAGATCGGATGCAGACCACAGCTGAGAACTGCTCTTATGTGATATTTTAAGACCGCTGTCCTAGGTCAAAGTCCGCGGAAGTGCATATCCTTATTACATTTATAAACTCTTTTATTCTGTTTTTCAAAGGAAACCTACATTAGGAATAAAGAATCTTTTTTCATTCTCCTGCATAATATTGATAAAGGTTTTGTACAGTCTAGCTTAAATAATTCAAAAAAGTAGTCGAATAGAATTTTAGTGGAAGAAATCTGATACCTTCATTTTCAAACCCAGTAAATGAACCGGATGTTGTAATGGTTGCATTTCATTTCTTTTAAAAGTTTACTTTCGGGCATGCATTATTAAATTCAGTTGACAGGATCTATTGTCTTGTTTAATAATAGCCCTCGATGAATGTGTGTCCACTTTGGCAATCACAAAATACATGTGGTAAGAGTTCAGATGAAATTCAATTCAAACAATTCATATACGTTTTTTGAGAAATATGACAATGATACGTGGAAATGTCTAAGAAAATATTTCAACTGGTTAACCCCCATAGCGAGTTGACCAGACCTAGTTTAATGAGCAAAGAAACATTTGAGACAAATTGGGCAAGTTTTTGTTGTTGCCAAAAAACGACATCAGGTGTATTAGAATGTCCAGCAAGGAAAAGCACTCCCTCCAATAAAGGTTCAGAATGAAGAAGCATTGTAGAACAGCTTAAAAGGTTTCAGGGCATTGGTGAGCTTCCTTCTTTCCTTGATACAAGGACAGGCTTAACAAGCAACGAGGTACTAGCCGGCAATCTCTTGCAAAATGAGGCAAAATTTCATAAGCGTTGCAAAAGTAAATATGACAACTACCATTACCGAAGGTTGTGTAGGAAAAGAAAGAAACAAACAGCTGATGTTGAAATTGCTTAGGCCCCACCTAGCACACGCCAAAGGTACAGCGCAGATAATTCCAAAGTTAGGTGTTTTTTGTGATTTGGAAGTGAATTTGACAAACGCTTGAACACTTAGAGTTCTTCAATGAAAAACTCTTGGCCAAATAAAGCGAAGGTGACATGGTAACAGTTGAGGCCTAATATCACAAACAATGCCTTGCCGCTCTTTACAACCATCTGAGAAGCTTTCTTTGAACAAAATCTGTTCACGAAACAGAGGACACTATTAGAAAAGGGATAGTGTTGGCTGAGATTATTGATTATCTTAGAGACATGGTAGAATCTTCCAATAATATTTCCGTATTCAAGTTAAGCAGTATCAAAAAACTCTTTTGCGATTGTTTTGTGGCGTGTGGTGCCACTGCAGAAAGTGTAAAGAATGTGCATAGTACTCGTTTGAAGAATGACATCTTACATCACATCCCAGAGCTTGAAGAAGAAAAGCCAGGAAACAATGTTCTCCTAACACACAAGGAAGAAACCAGTACCGCAATTTATCAGGCAAGTCTAGAGAATGACCAGGATGATGGAATTTGCCTTTCTAAAGCTGCCAATATCATTAGGAAACAAGTATTTCGCATAAGATTGAGTGGTGCAAGGTAAGCTGTCAAATACCACCAATGAAAGTGCCCGACATAGCAAAGAGCAAGAAACACAGTTTCCACTTTACCTTGGGTTGATGATTCATTCTGAAACAAGAGAGAAAGGACTTGTTAGCCGCCTCACAAAATATGGAATGTGCGTCTCCTACCATTGGATACGGCATGTCCAAACCTCAATTGCAACGGAGGTTTGCCAGGAATACCAGCAGCAAGGCATTGTTTCTCCACCTTGTCTGAGGGAAGGATTATTCACCACCGCTGCAATTGATAACATCGATCACAACCCGTCATCTGTCACAGCAGCTAACTCATTTTATGGCACCAGTATATTGATCTTCCAGCACACCGATTCAACGAAGGAAACAGCACTTTTGATATAAAAAATTGTTTATCTTGGTCTGGATTTCGTGCACACAGAGTCCGGGATACTCCAGTAAGGTTACTTTCCACCTTACTATCTTACTTCCTTTACTGAAAGATTCGGTAAATTCTTCTGCAATGGTACGTTATATGATGGACATTATCAAGAGCATTTTGCTACGGTTAAAATCCGACCGAACGCCTGTTATTACTGCTGATCAACTAGTGTATGCTTTGGGAAAACAAGTTCAATGGATGTACCCAGCAATTTACGGAAAGGATAATTTGCTGATGATGCTTGGCACATTGCATATTAAGATGGCCTTTTTAGATGCTATAGGTGACTGGCTAGCAGTGGCGAAGCCAAAGGTCCTGCTGGTCCTGCTGAGCAGGACCAAGAATTTCCAAAGATAAGATTTACTGTAAACAATAAACAATTTCTTCTTTGCAAAAAGGAAGTTTCAAATTCTTTTTGATAAACAGTCCCCAGTTCCGCCAGCTGATACAGGCATCCCGTGCTAATCTCAAGGTCCTGTTCTCTTCTACGGCAGCCCTGTATTTTGGTCCTGCTCATAACTATGATACCCTATGTTTGGTCCTGCTTCACAATGGGCTTTTGTGAATTTAGTCCTGCTTCACAATAGTCTAGAACAAAGAGCAGTCCTGCTCAATCTCGGGAGCAGGACCTCGTCGAAATGACCATCATAACATTTCGTAGGCAGTTGTGATTTGATTGGTCGAGGGTTCACCTACGTAGGTCAAAGAGCATTGTTTTGAAAACCTTTGGTCCTGCTATTTCTGAGAGCAGGACTGCAAGAATTGCCCTGTGCATTCTCGTTCTGCTATGAGATACTAGCAAGGAGGCCAGTTCAAGTATTATGGCGAGGCGATGTGAATGCGGATTTTCTGCTTTGGCAATACCAATGATATTATTATTGACAGCAAAACTTGCCTCAGTTGAGCTGCATAAATTTTATTTGTAACAAAACAGAGCTCTGCAGAGTCCAAAGTTCGCAAGAAAGAAATGTAAACAACAAAAATTGGCTGTATGAGGCACTCTGATTTCGGCCTTTGTACGATCGGTTGAGGCACGGTATATCATGGTGGCCTAAATAAAATTTTCTTAGACTTGGACAAGGACGATGAAAGCATAATTGAATTTACTGTTGTGTGATTGAAAGTTTTGAGTTGGAGAATAAACCAATTTCAGCGGAATTTGCATGTTTTTACCTGAATTGTTTTCTCGTCTAATGGTTTATCTAATAAAGTTGTTTTCATTGATAATGCGACACATTATTCGATTGTACCTCTCTTTATCAGCTGCAGAATAATTGTTCTGCAGAATATGTGAACTTGCCCCTACAGACTTTAAACTCTGTTGTTTATTAAAATTATTTTAATAGAGTATCTAGATTGGTCAGGTTTATAAGACCAAAATCTGGAATACCACAAATATATGATATGCAACTTCAAATGCCACCCCTACCCCCTTTTATCGTCAAATTTAGTTATCACCAATTTGAACTTTTACTTCAGCTGTAGAGGCTTACAACAATTTAACATAGATTTGTTTGAAAAGTAAGCACCCTAAAGCACGTCTTTAAGTATGGGTTTATTTTTCAAAAGATAGACATCGATTTAAAATTTGCTTTTTACTGAATTTAAGAAAAAAATCATCTGCAAAATAGAATTTTTGTCCATAGGCTTTTCCAATTGAATAAGGGCGTGGCCCTGTCCATATAGCAGGACCAACAATTTTTGGCTAGCTTCGCCACTGCTGGCTAGAAGGAAGTGGCTGGGCAGAATTTACTGAGCTTTGCAAATGTTTAGGACAATGCTCAGGTGCCAATGAATAAGAACAGCAAATGTATATATCTGTTACCCTTGTGCATGTTTCAGTTGTTATTGTCTCATGCCTGAACGGGATATCAAATTACCATTCCAAAAATTGCTTTTGGAGGCATTTTATATGTGGGATGGGCATGTTTCTTCAGCGTTGCAAACTGTCATTTTTACCAATTTTCATGCTGGTATCACAACTAGCAGCAGTATTGTCATGATAAACGCTTTTGGGGCCTGGGACCTAGTACAACAGTCTAAGAATAACATTTGGGGGCATTTCTCAGCTGGGGTCTGCATCCTATCTTTCTAAGCATATCAAACTTAGCCTGTGCTCCAGAGCACATTTCTTCTAACTTTCAAGTTGTTATCACAACTAGCAGCAGTATTTTTACAATAAATGCTTTTGGGCCCTGGGACCAAGTACAACAGTCTAAAAATAGCATTTGGAGGCATTTCTCAGCTAGGGTCTGCATTTTATCTTTTCGAGCATATCAAACTGCCAAATTCTTTTAAATTTAATGTTGTTATCACAACTAGCAACAGTATTTTTACAATAAACACTTTTGGGGCCTGGGACCTGGGACCAAGTACAACAGTCTAAAAATAGCATTTTGGGGCATTTCTCAGCTGGGGTCTGCATCTTATCTTGTTCCGCGCCCAAAACTACCTAATTATTTTTCGAATGATATGCTGATTTTGATATGTTTTAAAGAGTGTTCAGCCGCTTGATAGCTTGTTCTTAGGGTGTTCTTGGGGTGTTCAGCCTGTTCTTGGAGTGTTCAGTCTTTCAGAAACAACGACTCAGGGGAACCTTTAGCAGATGAAGAGTGGCTCTGAAACTACAACATGCAGAGTGCAAGAGCATAGGAGAAGAAGTCATTACTGAGTGAAAAAGTCAATGGCAGTGCAAAAGCCACTTTATGGTAAGTCATTTTTAGGTCTGAATATTAACACGTTAGTATTTTGGCTGGCTCGCTGGAACACGCTTAGCCCTCTTTGAAATAAAATCTGCAAAAATCCTAAACTAAATTAAAACAACGTTTCCTTTCCTAGACCTCTTTGATTTTAATGCGTCTTAATTTGTAACAGTTTCATTGAATAATTGAGTAAGATGGCATTATTAAAATGCCGTTCAATTTTTTATTGTGGTTTTTATTTAATAATGCATCGTTCAATTCTTGTGTACTAGGGTAGGTAGGTTGGCATTTTGTCAAGAATCCTTTGTTTCCCTTTCTGAAACATAATCACGGTAATCAACATGTTTAAATGGTAACCTTTGTCAGGGGAAACCATCATTATGAAAGTAGAGAGAGATCTGGCTATTCTCAGAAAAATTTTCTGATAACGTTTCTTATAACATTTTATTTTTCTTTTAGGTGTAAATGTGGTCATTGCGATGTTGTGCAATTGACAAAGCCAAAGGAATGTAGCTGCTGCACAGAGATTGATCAATGTACTGTAGCACTGAGTGATGAAAGAGTGGTGAAGGAAGTAGGCTCTATGCCCACACGCATAACAGAGCCCCCTGGGCTCAGGCCATTATGCCTTGAACAGTGAGTGGTCTCTTAAGGTAGTCAACCACTTTAGGTGAAAAACTTTTATTAAATGAGATTAAAAAATCAAATTTGAAGTGAAGAAATTGTCACAAACCCAAATTTGGTAAAAATTTTCTCAAATATGCAATATTATTCAAAATGGTGGCAATAACAATATAGGTAAAATGCAACACACTAATAACAGCTAATTATTTCAGTGAATGGTTAAAAAACTGAAACTTTGCAAAAATCATCTAAATAGACATTTCTAGAGAATGAATAACATTTTGGTAAATTGGATCTTAACTTTTTTGGAAAAATCACATATATTTTTACTTGTTTGCATGCGGCAGAAAAGTTAGAGATTTAGGACTAAGAATTAGCACCAAAGATAAATATGAATGTGTAAGAACTATTTTTATTTCTTAGAGTCTCTCACAGGAAATGTATATTGAGATCTTCAGCTCAAAATATTAATTACTCTTTGAGCAGCACTGTTAAAAAGGAAGAGATACGTCCGTTTTTCAAAAACTTACGAAAACAGAAAACTATGTTAGTACAACTTGTTCTTTTGGACAGAAACCTCTTAGTAGGCTCCAGACTCGTACAACTGAACCTACTTTTTCTTTCTATTTGTCCCAAAGTCCTTTTTTGATGGCCCTCAGCCTTTGCCTCTGCCTTTTTACCCTCTCAGTTGATCTTTTCTCTGCACAATACAATCGCTTTCTGTTGCTTGAAATAAGGCAATTGTTTGTGTAATGACCAGGTCGGATTCCAAGCCTTTCAAGAATAGCAGCTATTGTAGATGACCCATCATTAAAGCGTGTTACAGCACTTGCTGCATATAACTTTACAATTTTCTTGCCACAGTAGACTTTTTTGGGACATCTTGCTCAAATTAAGTGGTTCAGAGACTCGTTTAGATTCTGAGTGAAGGAGTCCAAACATCGAGACAACAAAGATTTGTCACTCAACTGCTTATAAATTGGCTTCACTTCATCAACAACAGCCATATCAATATTGTGCTTGTGCTTGAAGTTTTAGTTCCACTGGCTTTGTCTCGCTGCCACACCATGAATCTTTCCCCTTTGGGCATATTCTATGCCAGCAATGATGTCTGTCAAGGTCAGCAATGATGTCTTTAAAGAGATATAAGATTGTAAAGGCCAGCAATGCTGTCTTTTCTCATGCCAATCAAATCACCTGGATTTTTTCTTATTGCAAGTCCATAATTATTTTGCATTTTGTCAATAACTTTGTTTGTTAGACGCCCTTTACTTCCAATTGTTTTTCCATCTTTCAATTCTACATTCCCCAAGAAATCTTTTAACTTTCTAAGGCGTGTACCCATCCGCTTCTGAACATTTCCAATGCATTTTTTTTACTATTGCAACATTGTCACCATAGGGCTTATCTTTGGCAATGGTGGAATAAGAGGAAGAGTCTTGATCACCAATGTAAGAGGTGTACCTCAAACCATTCTTTGCAACTGAACGTTGATATATTTCTTTAATTCCTGCAATTTCCACTGCTCCAGATGAACCAAATCTGTCACTCTAATCTGTGCTCTAGCCACCATGCTTGCTATTCATCTGATTCTCTTTGAAGACACCAGGTTTGAGACTGAGACTTAAGTGAGGATGGTATTTCAGTAAAAATTTCGGTACAGTCAATAATATTTTTGTAATAGGATAATATTTTAATTGCGGTGGCATATCTTTTTGTCTTCTTTCTTGAGATGGAAACGGAAAGAAAAGAGGAACTTTATGAAATAAAAAGTTAATCCAACTTGTAAAAATTTTTGAAGCATTTCCAGTAGAATTTCCAAATCTGTCTGATAAATCAACTTCATAAATAAACTAACTTTAAGTCTCATTAGTACAAAAAAAATCTTCTAACTGAGAAAGGCTGCGCTTTGGACCAGGTTTCTGAGATTGAGAGGACAGTTGATAGGAAAGATCTGAAACCTTGGAAGATGTAGGCACACGGCAGTAATGAATACAATCAAGCTTTGGCTGGAAATACTAAAACAAGTCACGAAGAGAAGAAAAATTTTGAAAGCCAGTATAAAATTTGACTGCAGCATCCCTTTATCCAGTTTTTAATTTGAGAAGAGAGAGCTTTTAAGCCTCCTGAGGTGTATAAGAAAGTATTCATGGTCGCACTGCTTGTTTGTGTCAAAGGAAGAAGGAATGTAAATTGGAGAACTGACAAAAGAAAATTCAGTTTGCGTAGAAACTGAAGTAAATGGTGAATCATCAGTTGATAACTGTAGATAGGATTCCATTACATTACAATCCGAGAGAGAAACATCTTCATTGGAGATTGCAGTCACCGATGCAGAGGAAGAAAACGTACGTTCAGCTGGCCCTTTCCGGGATACTATTGGCAACGGATCGACGCTACTGCACAGATTCAAATAAGGGACAGCACCACTGATTTGGATACCTTCTGATGTCCACATCAGTATAATGCTTCTCACAAAGGAATGTAGATAGTGTAACATCAAAACCATCACATCCATTTGCGCGTTTTATGAGACTACACCATCGAAGCTTCTTGGGTTTCTTTTGTGGGAAAACCTAAATATCAAGATGTGAAGTTTTGGAAAATCACGCCAATCTGCATACTTTGAGTTACTATTTCAGCATAACTAAGGCCCCTAATGCAAAAAAGGTTTATGAAAAAATGTGAACTGGGAGAGAAAGCTTTATGTTTGATATCTGACAGATTGTGGCTAGGGACATACGAGAGAATTACTGTAACCATACATCATACATAAAATATACCTGTCATCAAATTCGCCAGGCACTTCATCTGATTCATCTCCCTCTTCCATGTCATAATCGTCATCTAATTCATCTTCACTGGAACTATCTTCTTCATTCTCACAAATTTTTTCATCTTCTACTCGATTGCTAATGGGTAATTTGGAAAGGGTCTCCATGACTTTAACCTCATCTCTTCTCACTCCTGCAAAAAACCGACATGGGCTACTTTATATCCATACATGGGATCATATAAGCTTGACACTTGTAAAAAACAATGAATGAGAGATCAGTAACAATATCAGTTGAGCATCTCCCATTGTTTAACCCTGGTTAAATGGGGAATGTTCCCTGTGAACATGTATTGGCTTATAAACTGATATTGCATCTAGTTACCCTAACAAAAACAGGAACATAAAAAATATGGAACATAAAATATCTATTTTCTTGTGCTTTGTTTTAATTTGCGAAGCTTGAATTTGTAGGATAGCCATTGGTTTCCTCAGCCTCATGTTTTGTGTAGCATAGGGCTCAAATCTTGATTGGCTGAGAGCTTGCGCTAAGTCACGTGGTCTCTCTCGCCGCTAAGCCAATCACGGTCCCGGAAAGTGTAAACAAACTTAGGCCAAAGCCGGAAATTGGGCATTTTTACCACCCTCCATTAAAAATAACGTGTAAAATCTGCTGCGATAAATTTCAAATTTTTTTAACTACAGCCCTACACAGATAAATTTCCCACAAATCTACCGTGGAACATGACCCGATTTTTAATTGTTTAGAAAATACAGCGTCTCAAACCTAGCCAGCAGAAACATTTATATTGAAGGAGATTGTAATGAATGAATTAACAGTCAAAAACAACAGATTAACAAGAAAACTCGAATTTTAATTATTCTTGTTTTTTCACAATTCACCAACCATGTTTACTTCAACTTTATACCTGGGAATTTTGATGAAAAACGATTTCATTCATGACTATCACTTAGGCCGACGCAACAAAATCAGTAACTGGTAGCTCTCCTCAGATTTCGGAATTCAATTTTTTTTATTCTATGTGGTAAAATCTTGTAAGTGGTCAGGAAATTATATTTAATGGCCATTCTAGTGCCCGAAGCGTTGACGTCCACATTATCCGGGTCACAGAATAGAAATGTCACTTCTGTTCTGTGTCTGGGTTATGGTATGTTCCGGAATGTTCAAAATGACATGTACTTTGCACTCGAGTGACTCGAACTTGAACAGCCGCGATGTGCATCCATTCGTGTACTTTAGAACGCAGTAAGTTTCTTTAATTTTTATGGCATGATGCAACCTTATAAGATATTAGCACTTTGGCTACAGTTTGCTAACACAAATGATAAAATTCATTTTTTGCAAGAAGTTATCTTAAGCACGTGTTTTAGCTCTTAGGCCGACATGCTATGTCATCTTATTGAATTGTTCTTTAGTTCAAGATCTTGCATCGGAGTGCCGCTAAAAAGAAATTTAATACACTCATAAAAACTCTTTCCACTCAGTTTGATGATTTTTAAAACATTTGGTCACCATTTACTATTCCAATCTGGTTAGCAGTGTGTGTGTGTCACTCGGTAGGTAGAACCTAAGCTGGTGATTTGGTGGTTTTTAAAAAAACAGTTTGATTTGTGATCCCAGGATTTCTGAAAACGTTAAGCTTCTGGTCCTGGAATAAGGCCCCATGTAAATATATCTCTTTTTAACTCGAGGAAGGCATCAGCAATGGTTGCGGGATCACAGCCTTTTTCGTCTGTAGTAAACTCTTCCTCACCATCGTCACCCTTTTCTTTATCGTCGTTATCGCGATCACCAACAATTGGCACCGAGTCTGGATTGAGAATGGATGCTGATGCAGCTTCAGATAAAACTTTGATCGAATCAACCAACTTATCTTTGCAAATGCTACAAATGCCAGGGCCAGAAGGAAAGCATTCCGGATGAAAGGAGTGCCCACAACCATGGAGAATTTTCATGCTTGTATTGATGGATGGTTGCACACAATTAGGTAGGTCGCATCACCTTAAAACGGAGAGAATAAAAAAATTGCATGTTTTGTTTGAAATTTTACCAATTGTGAACTATAATGAATACAGTTGATCCATGAAGAAAAATAATTGTTTGTAATTTGTTCATAGGTTAAAATGTCAAAAGCCTAAGAAGTTCCATTTTTCTACTGTATTCTATTTTTGGCACAGGTAAACATTGGGTGTAAAATATACATTTTGGATACATAAGGGCATATTTAATGTTCTGGGGCCATTAGATTAGAAAGTCTCTCAGCAGCAAGTAAGTTATTTTTCTCAAAGGAGTAAACGATATGACATAAATCATTTATATTATATGAGCAAATGTTATAATATACCGATTACATTATATATATATGCACTTTTTTTGAACATGAACATAAGAACATGAGTTTCAAGATTGGTCAAAAGCTAAAAATAAATTAGGAACAAGCTGAGGCTGAGCTACTGTTAGATGCAATTTTGAGCAATGTTTTATCTAAAATAATGATGGTTTTTGGTCATTTGTGTGCTTTTTCAGTGATGAAAGAGGAAATTTACTGGTTCTTATCAAAAAGAGTGTCCCTGCTTGGATTTGGTTCCTTGTTGAGAAACTGGAATCCAAGCGGAAGGACCTTGGATGCTACAACTGTGTCTTCTCCATAAAGTACAGGCAGTTTCCAGTATGTCATATTTTTTGCTTTCCTAGCTGGTCGAGGCACCTGATATCCAGAATTGGGATTTTGGGCAATTTGCAAATGAATTTGGCGGCATCCAATTTAATTCTTTCCAGTTTTGATCTGCTGAAGGTGTATTTTTTTGGAACTTCAAAAACAGATAAAAATTTTGCTGAAGTGGCTTTGGTGTTGTCAAATGCTCTTGCTTTTTGGCGCAGAAGATCACCACTGTCGCTATGGCTTGACTGAGCTCGCAGTATGGAATGGAAATTTTCCACAGGGTACTCATCAAATGCATTAAGATTTGTCATCAGTGTGTTGAAAAGAGGATGATCTTGATTCTTCCAATGCATTCTTCCAATGATGTGGCATACTCCTCTGTGTTTTGCCTTTTAAAGATGACAGAATAGATAGAAAGGACAACAGGAAGATAATTATCTAACAGATTTAAAAGGGCTAAGTACTGTAGGTCTTTGCAGTTTGAGAAAGCTACAGTAACTTGCTCTCTGATTGATGTCCAACCACCATAAAGTATCTCCTCGATTAAAGAAATTCGACTTGCTTTTGGTTTATTTGAAAGGTGTTTCCTAGCACCAAAGATGAAGGAAAAGGCCTTTTTGAAAAACTCGATATTGAGTAGACAAACAGATTCTCTTGCATTTAGTTGAATCTGCAAGGGACCAATGAAAGGAACAATATTTTGTAAAGACAAAGGAGCAAAACTGTGGAGGTTATATTGAACCTGTCTCATGAAGAACTGTGCTGGCCAATCACCTACAAAAGGGCACACAAAGGAAGAAAGATAAAGGTGGAGACCCTGGTTTACTGCATGAGTTGCAGCATCAAGAAAGTTTTGAAAGCTCTTAAGTGGAAGCTCAAGCTCATCAATTAGTCTACAGTCTTTCATCTGTCTAATTGTCTTGCAAGATTGCTGTTCTTGATAATCATGCTCCTATGGAAAAAGGGACACATTGATAATCTACACTTAGGAAGAAATAAATTTGTCTAATGTTATTTTAGATTTCAAAGCAGTTTTCTTAAGCCTCCAAAGTGCTTGGAAGGTTGGCTAGCAACCCATGTTGTTACATTACCATACCAATAATGAGAAAAAATGTATTAAGGTGTATAATTGCTCTCTTTTCTGTCAATGATTTCTTAGTAGTATCAGATTTATTTTTATAAGCATTGTTAAAATGTACATTAACATGTTATGTTGATATGTATTGAAGTTAAATAAAGATAATATATATCTGCAAAAAAACTGTTGTCTAACCTCCATTCGTTTTCTTTCCATCTCAGGGTCAAAGAAGGTGGTTCGGATCCAGTGTGGCATGACAGAGGCATAAGTACTTGATAAGTTAGAGATGTTTTCTGACAGAATTTGTTCCAAGAGAGCAGAGTCGACAACCTTTGGATTTGTTGTTGGAAAAAGAGATGGAATGGCTGGAACACCCTGAAATCTCTTCAAGAGAATAGTTGCCATACTAATTGCAGTGGAGGTTTCAGCATCATTAGGGCGGCTCTTTGTGTGAATATTTGTATAGTCATCTATCATAAGAACCAGGAGATCTTTGTTTTCAACAGCTTCAGATACAAATGTTGAAACAGCTTTATCGTGGTTGAATGACAGTTTCACCCGTTCTCTCTTTTGAGTTGATTTGGAGACACTCACTCCACTTTTATTGAGAATGGATAGTCCTGTCTCACTTATCCCTTTTCCTACTACTCTTTGGGATAGTACTTTTTGGAACCAGCTTGCTTTTTGTGACTGGCCAAAGACAAGCATATAGAGTGCAGCAACAACCTTCTTCTCATTCTGAAGCAGTTTACTTGGTGTCTGTTCTTGGACCGACATGGCTTCTAGAAGGGTTTGGAAAATGCTGGTTGCTCCTGCATCTTGGCACATTACCTTGACAGCCTCTGGGTCAAAAGGTGGTTGCTGATCATTGTGGCCATACTTTGACCACAACAGTTCTCTAAAAAGGGTCACCTCATGCTGTAGGTGGATGCTCCTGGAAAGAAGTGCCTTCATCTGTGGCAGGAAATATGCAGGCACGTACACAAATTCACTACCCACATCAACATGTCCTAGTCCAACAATATCATCAGTTATGATTTCTGATGTAGGGACATACTTGACAAGGCTTGTTGGAATCAATGAAAACTTCTGGCCATTAATCACAGTTTCCTCAAAACATGGTACAGAAGTCTCATCCTGCTCATCTGGTATTTTTTCCAGGCCCGTGTTTGTTGTTGCAGTGCTGTCCTGAGATGATGAGCTCTCTGAAGAAGCGAACTCAGATACAATTTTCTGCAACTGAAGAAGCATACCTGTTTTAGACTTAAACTGACACTGTGATAATCTGTAGTTTTAAGTTGATAATGAATTAAAGATAATCAACTGCATTCAACTTTTTATTGTTTTCTTGTGAAAAAATATGAGATAAGGAATTACGAACTAAATATGTTTATATGGAATTACTAAATTCTGTTGCTTTCTCTAAAAATTAATCTCAGAAAAGCTTGTGACTTGTAACATATGGGTTATTGAAGAGTAATAGACGTTTCCGTTCTTGTATAGATGGACACGCCCCCTTTTACAAAGTGTTTGCTTTTTTTCTATATTCAGTTTCAACATAGGTAATGATAAACAAATTTAGCTTACCTTAGCATAAGACAAAAGTTCTGTAAAATTCGGAGGCAATTTTGCTGTAAAATAGCGCTTCTTTGTGCAGGTAATGACGCAATCTGTACAAAACTTGTCGCTCAATTTTCTTTCATTGCGTTGGTCGAACGCTTTAAATAAAACACTACTTCTTCCAATCCTTGCGTGTAAGTTAACAAGGTGTTTGGAACGGCTGTTCCATTCGTCATGGTGTGCATTGGCACAAAGTTTTGAAAATCTTCCAATTTTGGTCGTTTATTTTTTCGTCAACTTAAAAAATTTAAGCAAGTAATTGGCAATAATTGCGTGACACAGGTACAATTTTCCCGCCATTCGACGGGACCCAGACCCTTTGTAAATTGACCTGTTGTTCATATGAGTGATTTAGATACGTGCTCTCCACGAGGACAGAAACTGTTTTGTAGGGGTTGGAAACATTTAGATGTTATGTTTTTTTGGTGGAATTATTTTAAACGCGTGCATTTGTTGGAGGTAAGTGGACCAAACCATGGTTATGTCAGACTGATTTTGTTGCGTCGGCCTAAGCGAGAGTCATGAATGAAATCGTTTTTCATCAAAATTCCCAGGTATAAAGTTGAAGTAAACATGGTTTGTGAATTGTGAAAAAACAAGAACAATTAAAATTTGAGTTTTCTTGTTAATCTGTTGTTTTTGACTGTTAATTCATTCATTACAATCTCCTTCAATATAAATGTTTCTGCTGGCTATGTTTGAGACGCTGTATTTTCTAAACAATTAAAAATCAGGGTCATGTTCCATGGTAGAATTGTGGGAAATTTATCTGTGTAGGGCTGTAGTTAAAAAAATTTGAAATTTTTTGCAGCAGATTTTACACGTTTTTTTTTTAACGGAGGGTGGTAAAAATGCCAAATTTTCGGCTTTGGCCTAAGTTTGTTTACACTTTCCGGGACTGTGATTGGCTTAGCGGTGAGAGAGACCACGTGACTTAGCGCAAGCTCTCAGCCAATCAAGATTTGAGCCCTATACTGTTTTGTGTACCCAACCATTTACAGCTAGAACAACCATTCAAAGCAGTCTGGCAAGCAACATCTTTTACCTTCAAGAATTCTAAAAATAAACAGTAATTTTTTGTCCCAAATAAGTGAGGGAGGGTCTGATATAATGTAATATAAGATAATATGAGTGGGTCTGATATACAAGCCAAATATTAATAAAAAGGGGAATCGTAATAATAGGGGGATCCCAAATATTTTTGTTTTTCAACAACGTTTTAACTGAAGCCAGCAAAGTCAGATTGTCTTAGCTGCTTGTCAAATCAAAAGAAAATCATGTTATATCAGGTAGTGAATATCAGGTAAAGGAAACAATCATCTGACAAAAAATCAGGAATTAACATAACAAACAGAGTAAATGCCTACACTAAAGCCTTCATCGGCTAACTCTGTTTCACGTTCTTGTAAAACCATGGCGAATTCATCGGTCTCAGTGTGGTCATAAACAGTTGATGTTGATGCCTCTGTTTAGTGTTCGGTCTCAAAGTTACACAAGTTTAACTCATAGAACACACAGGACTTTTTCTGCTCGCACAGTCATCCTCTCCAGCTACAAACAACAACCACTACAATAACAGGGGGGCTGGTTCAACGGGGCTCCCAGACTAGTTAAACTATTAAACATAAATACTACACTCTGTAGATGACGAGGGAGAGAGCATTGCGTGGAATAAACTTCTATTTACTTCTGTAAGCAATTAGAAGTAGTATTAAATAGGAAAATAAAGACAAATCTAAATACACTGAAAAGTAAACGCCAAAACTGTCCTTACTTGACGATGATCTCTCAACATTTTTCTTGAAGATGCCGTTAACTTATGCCATGCAGAAGGTTCTTCTTGTGGCGTTGGGAAGTTCACAGATGGAAAAGCAACAATACCAAAATCATCACGTCTAAGAACAGCCTGCATCTTACCCATAAATCCAGGCAAGGAAGATATTCTGTTTTCGAATCTTCAGCCTTGAAATGTTCCAAGGAAATAAGTGAGTACTGGGATGGGGTAAAGTTTGCAGATTGGAATATCAATAATATTTTAACAAAAAATCCTTTACTTATCTAGTTAATCATAAGGTATTTACTTTATTTTCTTACTGGTACTGAACGTTTGTTGACTGATTGTCTTCATATCATTGTCTATTTCAATAAAACTGTTTTTGAATAAAACTTTGCAACAAGCTCTGGGAGCAAGCATTTCTCATCAAAAATGTGAGCATTTCTTTAAATTTGCTGCCCAGAATTCCTCATCAGGATAAATCCTTTCTAGGTGATAATCTTTCTCAGTAAAAACAAAGAAGTCACAATATTCCTTCTTGCAAACCAACAGCTGAGTTTGGACCTGATAATAGTGAGGATGCTTGTGACTCCAAAGGAACTCATTGTTAACTGCTTTTAGGCAAAATTGTTTATAACCCGCTGCCTCAAAGATAAACTGATATTTTTTTGCTTAAAGGTCATTTCATTTCGATACAACCATTTCCACGGCAGCTTCATGACACTAGGCCATCAGGAGATGCTCCCATGAATGGATGATCCATTCAAATATGAAAGCCACACTCAGTAACTTTGAAGTTTTCATGCAAGTCAAACATTACACATAAATATGTTATCAGTGCAGTTTTCTCTTGCACACAACCCCAACTGGTTGCTTTGGTTGAGAACTGATAGCTTTCAGGGTAGCAAATCGATTTTCACGAGCTTTGGGATGGTAGGGCAACATTTGTATGGCATACACCGTGGGCTTTAGATGCAGTTATGCAACCTGCTCTATAATGAAACCATGCCCTGTTCTTGGATTGTTTTTGTGTTTCACTCACCTACTTGCACCTGCCTTTATGTGCCTGTAATATTTATCTTTTGACAAACATCCAATATCCAGATAATATTTTGATATCAACTGGAGATCAAATAACTCTGTTGGGTGTTTCCATGTCAAATCAGCAAGCAAAACATTATTTTGACACCCACCATCTCAGAATTGGCTAATTTTGTGTCTAAAAGAGCCTTACCATATGACAATCACATCTGTACAAAAGTTTCTTAAAATTCAAAACCATCTAGAAATTACGGGGATTTTAATTTCATCAAAATTCTCCAAAAGTTGGCAGATGGCGGCCATTTTGAATTACGGTTAGAAATTAAAAATAGAAATAAAACCTCAAAACCCTGAAGGATTATGTGTTTGGATGAATTGGTCAACAAAACTGTACTATTTCATGTATGGGGATTCTGATTATGCTATTGAATTCACCATTACTGTCAAACCTAACCCCCCAGAGTTTCATTTGTGCCCCCTGTTCTTTAATTGGGTACTTCCGATGTAATTTTTCTTACATCTATTCAAGTCTTGATAAAAAAATTTGACAACACCATTGAAGGCCAAATTTGGCCAGGGGGTTCCTGAGACATTGAACTTTAACTTAAATAAAAGCTGTGATGGTCTTTTTCTTCATTTTCAAGTTATTGGTATCTAAACTTTCACAATATTCATAATCGCATTTGCAGGCTTATGTTAAATTAATCATTGTCCTTCATCTCATAAATCATATTTTAAAAAACGATAGGCTATTTAATATTATGTCTCCTCAGTAAATTATTTTGCAGAAATATCATCATCATCATCATCATCATCATCATCATCATCATCATCATCATCATCATCATCATCATCATCATCATCATCATCACCATCAATTAAATTAACTAAAATACAATTTAAGAAATAAGCTCTTTACATCTAAATAACAAATTAGAGCTTTTTACCAAAAAAAGAAAAATTAATTAATTAACACTAACAACAAGCAACAGTACAAACATGATTAAGCGACAACTGTTAAATTTTATGTAAATTTAGCAAAAACAAACAAGGAAAAAGAAGCAACAACTACAACAAAGAACTTGGTCTGCTTTTTAGGAGGTTACCTGCATTTGTTTTTGGTACCTAAAAATTTCCCTCATAAGTCTTGCAATATTGGCATTATTGTTGTCTGTTTTTGTCATGAATATTTGATATTTTAGTATAGACGGGTTTTTAACAAAATAGATAGGAATGTAATCATTTCTTTTATGCTAAAAAGTAGGGCATTTCAAGAGTGTCTGGATCTCGTGTCAGATTTCAAGAGTGTGTGGAACTCGTCTCAGATTTCGTTAGATTAACACATATTACATATTCTTTGATTGTAACTTCTTTTGTCCCTTCTGTTTCTACTGCCAATTTATGGTTTGCTGGTCTAAACCAGACTAGGTATTGTAATAAATTTGAAGAAAGAAGGTCAAGATATTTTCCTCTTCAAAATTGTTCTTCCTACACGAATACATTTTCCCTTTATTCGACTCATTCATTTCCATATACCATTGTTGTAGGAATTGGTCCTTTAAATTAGTTTTTACCACTTCCATTTGATTCTTACTATTATTTACAATTCGTTATTTTACGCTCCAAATGTATGTGTTAGTCATTCTGAAGAAGCTTACAGCGAAACGTCAAACAGGTTGCTTTTTATTGAGAATCTATATGTATTTATATATATTAAATAATTTTATATTTCAGATGAAACAAAGAAAACTCTAAAGCTTGGAGTTCTACCAAGATTTAATCTTGCTGTTAAAAGACCGAGAACAAGCATTTTCATCAAAAGAGCCTGTTAAAAGACCGAGTACACACATTTTGAACAGAGAAGTGGCATTCACACATTCAGTTTTTCAGAGTTTTTAAAAGTACATGACTATGAAATCTTGTTGAGAAATGAAGGCTCATGTTCAGCTTGTAAAGAAAGAGAGAGAGATATGAAAGCCAACTGATGCAGAGGAGGCCAAAATGAAAATCTACCTGCTAGGCACAAAGACCCATTAATGGCAACAACTCCTGGGAGGGCTGTTTTAGTACTCAAAGAAGCCAGATTGAAATGTAAACAGCTGAATAAAGAAGTACAACAGATGGTAATGGCAATAAAAAATTGTTCCAAAGATCTGACGCCAGAATTGAGCAATGATTTCAAAGAACTTTTTCAAAAATGGGACAAAAGAACAATCTCTGACTTCATTCTGGGAATAGCAGCAAAAATACTTGCAACAGTATCTGAGCCAAGTAAGGGATCATCCAGTGATAATCAAAAAATTTACACGCAGAATTCAAAAAAGTGTTCTTTTTTCAACATTTTCAATATTTGGGGGTTTAAATGGGGGTCAAATGTGGCCACCAGTGGTCCCACACAGCAAATTTTGACTAAAAATTCAAAGTTTACGGAATCCCTCCAAAGTTCATGTCAAATATAATTTTTTTACGCAGAATTCAAAAAAATTGTTCTTTTTTCAAAATTTTCAATATTTGGGGGTTTGAATGGGGTTCAAATGTGGCCGCCAGTGGTCCCAGACACCATTGAATTACTATTTCTTTCCAAGAGCTCGAAATATCGAACTTTCCACGCTTCAATATGTCAAAGTTTTCTTACTTTCACAAAAATTCCATTCTGATGTCCAAATTTGTACATGGGCGAAAAAATCAGGGCAGATAGGGGGTAATTGAATTGTATATTTGGAAAATAGCAATTCTTTCAGAAACTCGTAACTTTATTGTTTTGAAGAATTCTTATGTGAAAATGAGATTTTTTCCGAACCTTCAAAAATTGTCTGTCAGGTGAGTCAAAACTGAAGGGAAATACTGCTATGTGTTGCAGAATAATAGCTTAGACAAGAATTTCAAAAGAAAGGTTTTCCATAATGGGAAACCTTACGTTGAAAAGAACAGCCTGCAAACAATATTAACGAACAATATGGTTGCTACCTACCTAGAAATATTTATACTAAACTTGAAATGAAACGTGAAATAGTTCCATGAGAAGCAATGCTTATCTTCGCTTAGACTACATGTGTGTACTACACACACCCCCCCCCCCCCCCCCATTATTATAATCCTGTATAAAAACAGGATAGGAATGGAAATTTTAACCTATCTATACATTTCCTCATAAATTCATTACAAAAAGGGATATATGGTACCACATATTTAAGTATGTATTAACTAAAATACATAAGAACACTATATATGCCCCCCCCCCTTTTTACCACCGTAGTTTGTTGGGAAATTTTGCTAGAATGTTAGAAATTGTTGGAAAATTTATCATTAAAATCCGAATTATTTCATAAGATGATTATTATGTCTCTACTATCATAGTAGACATAGTAGAAATATCGTTGATGAAAAGCATTTCGAATAATTAATAATAGTATAATCGAATTTTTGGAAGTTTTTTTCTATTCAAATTTTTTTTCTATATCAAGAATAAAGAGAAACGCAGTACACACAAATGGGCCTACTTACTTGTGGAAAGATATGTTTGTTTGAACGGGAAGCAAGTCTTTTTTAGGAATCCATCGATTCTGGCAGCCGAAAGCAGCATACGACACTACCATTTTCTTATCTTAAAACGCTGAATTATCTTTAAATGTTGACAACAGTATATTAGATTAATAAGTGAGCCAAGCGCGTATATGGTGATAGTAGGCAATACTGTCCGCTGTGATTTCCCGTGTATTTTTTTGCCAACTTGTTGCTACCATTTTGGATCCCCATAGTTCGCATGCGTGACGTGATAGACCGCACATTCTAGCATTACTATTTCTATGAGTACAACCAACCATAACCAACATAAGCAGATTCAAGCAGGGCAAACATGGGCTAAACGTTTCATTGTTTATCTTTGTTTTACAACCGAATTTTAAAAATGTTTTCATTGATAATAAAAATATCTTAAAACGAAAGACTTTATCTATGACAGCATGATTCTGCCGTTAGGGTAAATTTCATTGAAATGGTCAAAAATATGATCCAAATCCAGCATCTTTGCATGTTTCACATGAATTCCAAGCAGCAAAAAGAATTTCAATCGAGAGTCACTCAATTGTGCTCCTTGTGTATTTTTAATGATGCATAGAGAGCTGAAGGACCTCTTGCTGGAGGCAGTTGAAACTGGAATAACAGGCAATAGTCAGTAATCTGTGCAGCTCATAAAATGCATCACGGAGTTGACTAGTTTCCATTGTAAATTCAAGCAAACAAGATGGATATTCTTTGCCCCTTTTTCTTGCAAGCGGCCTTTCCATATTGCGTATTTCCAATTCCAAGTTGAAGAAGTTGGATTTGTACATTAATGCAAGAGGACTTATGAATAAGCAGTTGAGAAATATCGCTGAGCCTGGTGTTAATGTAGATACACCTACATCATGACTTTGTTCTCATGATTAAATCTGCAATTTAACTCAGAAAGGCATCTGTCAAGGAGAGGATAAAATATATTGATGTGGAAACTTTCTGCAGTTGGTGCTCTTTTGCCAACAGTAGATAAAAGGATGCTGCTTTCCAAGCTCTTTGGCAACTTTTGCTGCCTCAAAAATTTTGTTTCCTTCACTAAGTTCAGCTCATTAGCAATGGTGTCTGCTGTCTTTTTCAAGGAATTGTATTCTGTTTCGCAATCGGAGGGAAGACAAGCTTTCAATCATTGTGCTTAGAAAGCTCAGCTGCATCTGCTATAAAGTTGCCTGCATCTTTCAAGAAATGGGAAGCAGCTTTGCAGTGTCAAAGAATCTCCGTGATAACAACCAACATCATGCAGTATTGCTGAATCATTGAACTAAGAAGGCCCCTCGCCTTGTATGCTCTTTCTCTATCTTTATGATTTATCCCTTTATCTTC